CACACAAGGAACAAGTACATAGACATAACAATCACCACCTAAATTTCTTCCTCACAGAGCCTAACATTGAGGATTCCTTCAAACACCTCAGAATAGCATTCATTATCTGCCTAGACCCCTCCCCACTGCCACCCTCACCACTCAGCCCCTGAGAACCAATTCCACAAATGAGTTCTTAGTGCCTTCCATGCAACAGGCACTTTATCTGCCCTCCAGGACATACTGGGAAGCAAGTGGCCCCCAAAATAGGTGCTCAGTTGCTACTGGGATGAGCACAGCAACAGAGAGTTATAAGGTGCCTCCAAAGTAATACATGCTGAGGAGAGGCGACAAGGTAAGAGAGTCAGAAAAGGCTGCCCTCGGGGACCTCATATTGAATTAACACCTGAAGGAAGAGTAGGTATTAGCTACGGGAGGATCGTGAGTGACAGCTGGGACAAAGGCCTAACCAGGACGTGACAGGGATGCAGAGAGAGGAGAAGGAGACAGGAGTTGGGGTGCAGAGAACAAAGAAAGGCATACAGCAGGAGAGCCCATGGGGGCTGGCAGCGTGCTGAGGCTGGGAGTTTCATGGTCAGTTTGTCCCTGGAAGACCCCCTAACTGCAGTGAGAACCCATTAGACAGGAGAGCAGTGGCTGGAAGGAGACCAATGAGACGGCTGTTGCAATATTTCAGATAAGGGAGCTGGCCTCCTGGGCTAGGGTGGCAAGAGGGAGAAGTAGATTGAATAATTGGGGGCATACTTGGGGATAAAACTGAAAGGATATGCTGATAAATTAGATATTGACTGAGGGAGCAGAAAGTGCTGGAGATGACTCCTAGGTCTCTGCCTGAGCAGCAGGATGAACGGTGGTACATTGTCTCCGAGAAGACAGGTTTGGGAGAGAGACAGAGTATGAGAGTGCGTGTTGTGACCAGAAGAACATTCATCTTCATACAAGCCATCAATTACAGTCCTTGGGTGTCTACGGGCTATGAAGTGCTGCAGACACACTTGTTTGTGTCCCCCAAGTCTGTATGCTGAAATCCTAACCCCAGTGTGATGGCATCAGGAGAGGGGCCTTTGGTAGGTGGCAGGTCATGAGAAGAGAGCCCACGTGAATGGTGTTAGTGACCTTATAAAAGCAAAGCTGGAAAGCTCCCTCCTCTCTTTCTGCTATGTGAGGACACAGCCTAGAAGTCAGCATCTGAACGCCGGAAGCAGGTTTCACCAGATACCAGATTGGCTGGCACCTGGATCTTGTACTTTCAACCTCCAGAACTGTGAGAAATAAACTTCTGCTGTTTATAAGTGTCTGATATTTTGCTACAGCAGCCCAAACAGACTGAGGCATGACGAAAACCATTGGAGACTTTTTATTTGGTGAATAAACAGCTCTCTTTTTAAATTTCTCCCTTCAGATAGAGACTGTTGAATTTGCCCTGATAAACTAGTTCAACTTTTAATGTCATATTTAATAGTCCCAAATATTAAGATTCAACTTCATATTATCACAGCAATTTAACTGTCAATGTTGCTTAATGTAACTATCAGTGTTGTTTTGTATACAATCATGCAAATTCCTCTGCAGAAATGGGGTAGAGTCTCTGCCCTCTACCTTAAATTCTACAAGGATCATCTTTTCTTCCTGCTTCTAAAGCATTAAAGCTTTTTCTCTACCCAAGCATAAGGACAAAGGGCAAATGGCTTTAGTTTTCCCGTGAGATGTCATTTGAAGTACCAATAGCATCTCATGAATTTTTTTAGAGGCTTTTAAAAATGGATAACTTTGGTATACCATCAAAATACAACAATACACTTACTTAGGAGCTAAAAATTCTTAATATTTCTTAAACCAGGCTGTAGTAAAGTTTCTATCATTTTACCTAGAGAGGAAAGTCAGCATCAGCAACACAACACCCTATGCAGTGTTCCAAATCTCAACATAGCTTTTTGGGGGCATCTGAGGGCATGCCTTAATTTTTATACTGTCATTCAGAGCAGACATAAGAGCCAAAATGAAGAACTAAGTTTCTAAGGTTCAAATTAAATCCAAATATTTATTTAACAAACCACCATTGAGGTTGGTATTTACTAAGAAACAAAGCAAGAAATAAAACTTCAGGGATCCTGTTTAACTGGAAAACTTTCCTTAAGCCACTGAAGAGAAACTTCAGAACAGCCTTCAAAACAAAATCCGGTTCTAATCTGTAACCACAGTATAGATACAGTGCATAACCCCTGACCCCCAAAGACCATCCTCCTCATTTTAAACAACTACTCAGGGCAGGTCTTGAGCCACAAAATACTTGCTATGACAGCAATGTATGGTTTTTGCCTCATATTATAAACACTTATAGAAGAGAACCTCTTTTCCTACTAAGTAAGACTGTAAACATCACAGAGGGGGTATACTACACCTGATCCTCATCACCTATAAAAAATGCTCCACACACAATATATATGAAAAACTTGCCTAATCATCAAAAGAATTCCACAAAACAAGATGACAAAGCAGAGCTTCTGTTAGCACGATGGTCAGTCCTTGCTAGGTCAACATTTGTGTTCATATTTATGTATGAGGACATCATTGGTAACATGGTTGCTTTTTCAGATAACAAGAATATGGAGAGATAGCAAAAAAAAAATTATGTGTATTAATTTTGTTGGAAGATGATATTACACTAGTTCAAGGGTCTAATTCCGAAAAGCTTATTTATTTATAGTTATTGTACATGCCCTCTGGCCCCCAAGATCTCCTTCTCCTAAGCAAATTTACCATTAAATAGGCAAGCCATGTCAGGTCAGCTCTTAGATCCTATTTTTTGTTCAGAAAGAAGTCTTTCTGTTCAAGAGACAGGAAGGCATCTGGTCATCCCCCAAGTTCTTATCTATTAGTCATCCTCTATTTTCTGATCCCTCATCTGTAGGATGCATGGAAGAAGAGATTCAAGTTGATGAAGCCACCTCAGGCCAGTATAAGCTGTGTTGCTGTCGCTAGATCATGAAGAGATCAAGCATGAGAAAATGGATCCAGTTTAAAGCCAAGCCGACCCGAGTTCCAATTTGCCTTCAGCACTTGCTGGCTGGTGGCCTTGGGCAAGGCCTCTTACAGTCTGAAAGTCCCTCACCTTTGTATTGAGGATTCATTCTATGGGAATATAAGGATTAGAGATAGCTAATGCAGGTTCTAAAACTATACATATTACCAACCTCCTTTCTAACTTTCCAATGAGCTTTCCAAAGTTGGCCATGACTGACTTTGACCTCATTTCTCTAATTCTGTGAGCCTTATGCTGCAGAGCTGTTAACTGGTTTCAGAAAGGAACTGAATATGTTATTTTTCTTACTGTCTCCATTAGTTTGTATAGTGAGTTAAGAAATCAGCACAATGCTCATCGCTATTCCAGGTCATCCCAAATGGTTGTCAACTGGGGAGGGGACCGTCCACTCAGCCCAAGACAGAGAATCCTATTAAATTCTAATAGTCCTCTAAATGCATTTTGTAACATTTAAAAAATAAACTTAAAAAAATTAAATGTACAAACAATATAGCCACATCTCTGAAAATTGACAAATACTGAGAAAAGGGAGGGAGGGGCAATTACCTAATCCACATTTCACAGTTCCAGCCCCATCCTTTTAGCCTCCTCTCCCTCCCCTCCCCCCTTCATGAGGCCTGAAGAAGCCTGTGGGTGTGGACTTAGCCAATGTGGCCAACCCAGAAACAGCACTTGTGTCTCTGGCTTTCCACTTAAAAAGCAAGCATATACTGAGACTTGGAAACCAAGAGATCTCCTTGTAATGCCAACAACTTGCCTAAATAAGAAATAATCTAGACCAGCCTAACCCCTTTAGTTAGCACAGTCTGAATTTTCAGCACTTGTAAAATCATCAAAGGAACTGCATAAGAGCAGTTTCCCCTCAAACAGTAATAATAATTCTTATTTTTCTGAATTATGCATTGACTTTTGGGAAAACCTGTCATTAGAGGATTTTCTGTCTGCTGACCTTTGCTTTCTCGTCTTGGAAGTGTTTTATTAAGTAGGGCATCTTGTTCAAATACAGGACACTGCTCCTGTTTCCCATGAGGTTTTGCAGTTCTAGTTACTAGCATGATACACACACAATTTATGACTTTTTGGGTCTTCGATGTGGCTACATATTTGTCCTTTACCATTACCATCCTTTTTCCTAAACTAGATTTAAGTGGATCAAACACAGCTATTTCTTTTTACAATTTGGTATGATTCAGAAAAGTAGTTTTAGGAAATGCCTTTTCATAGATTATAAGGGATAGAATGATATAAATCTCAAAACAGTAAAATGAATGCATGGTTTTTAAAAAGGAATGATCAAACATTTTAGCATTTTGTTGTTGTTGTTGTTGTTGTTGTTGTTTTTATGCTTAAACTCCCACATGCTAGAATCTACTGCTAGAAGTACTTTCGATTGGCTAAAAAGACTAAAATCAGCAGTGCTCTGTCCCCTAACTTCCACCAAAAAAGTGACTAATGACTCTGAAAGATCCTTACAATTAGTAATCTGTCTAAGGTTATCATACTTATAGTCTACAAAAATGTTTCTTTGTTTGGCAAATCCTGGTGATATTAATCTAGACATAAATATGTACAAAAAGCCAAGTATATTTCTGGGGCCTGATATTACTGTCTGTCAAGATATTAACAGTTTTAAAATTTGTATTTGAGGCCCTAGAAAATTATCAAGGAATCCACACAATTTAACTCAGAGTAGTTTATTCTAGCTAGTCTGAAAAAAAGAAAGCGCAAGGTTTTATTACAGAACTTAAGCTTAATCTCGGGATCCAAATGTTCCAAGTTCAAATAAATCCCCCACATGCCTGTTTGCTCCTCTGCCAAGTCTGAACAGCTGAAAGCAAATGCCGACTTGTGCCTACAAACAGGTAAATTAGCAGAAACTAAATCACCAAGTAACATAAAAGCAACACCCAGAAGCAAACCCCCATTAACCTTAAAGGTAAAATAAACAAAATGGTACCTGTTCTTCCTCTTTTTGGTTTCTCAGCATCGATAAATATTTTCTAATTGCATGGAGAGGATATTTTTTGAAATAAGAGAATCTTGACTGAGGCATCAGATTATCCATGGTGAGGAGAGCACGAAGATCCTTATGTGCCCCTCCCTGTCAGCAACCACATGAAATCTAGAAGCTGCTGCACAATTCCTCAGATGCCTAGAGATTTGCTTGTAGCTTGACCACTTTCCTGCAAACAAATCTGGTGTTGTTCTCCTTGCTGCTTCCTCTTTCAGGTAGAATTCATGGTGAAAGCAGACAGCCGCGTCCCAAGGCTGCCTGAAAGCTTCCAGAAATGCAATACCCAGAGGGCAGCAGGAACCAGGAGGAATCCAGGGGCTGGTCTGCCGGATGCAAATTGCCTAGTGGTAGTGATGTGACTGTCCTATTTCTAGCAACAGCGTTCTGTTGCAAGCTATGTTAATATTAGGTAGCTGGTGACTTTCCACACCCACAGACTCTCATGAGGTTTAATCTTAATTCTTCTGACAGCTTTTCTAGCTCTTAAAGAGGACATGACATGGTTTTTTCCTGTTTCCTTCCAGAATTCTTATCAGCATGAGCACACACACACAGCCCTCAGCAGCATCTCAGTTCTAAAGTGTCGAATCATTCAGCCTTGAGAAGCATTGTTTCAGAGGATTTCTAAAAAAAATTTAACAAATTACTTCAGTCTTCATCATCATCAAGGAGTTCAGTGTCAGAACTTAAAATGGTTGGTTTACACTATCATGCATTATGCAACATGCCCAGTAACCAGATACTTCATGTCAGCTGAACAATAGCTGCAAACAGATTTTGTTTTGAGTTCAAAGGCTTCTCTCCATGAATCCTTATCACATACTCACAGGCTGAATCCTGGAACATTCAACTTCCCCAGACTTTATTCTGAGCTTAAGGAAGAAAGATGTTATACATTTACTTTCTAACTCTTATGAAAAGGCTTCATGCTTAAAAAAAGAGAACATGGTAAGAGGTCTGTGGTCATAAAGGACAAGAAATCATAAAATTTGAAAGTTCATTATTTTCTTAATTCTCTATAGAAGTCACAGGGTTTCTGAACAAAATTCCCTAGTAGGCTTTGCTATTTTATTACCCTTTTTAACTTTGCAGGAGCTGGTTGATTTGATGGAACATTTGGCCACTTTTCTGAGGGGCTGTCATATATAGCCCAGGGTATACATCAGCCAGTGATTTGCTTTCAGGTGAAAGAGGAGAGCTAGTCTTTGCCCCTCCAGAGAGAACACTGAAAGCCAGATTGCACAGGTCAAGCAGAGCTTGGGGAACCCATTTTGCAGCCTGCGCCTTTCCCCTGGATAGCCTCCCTGACATCCTGGTTGGGCTACTTGCCTTCAGGGAACATACTCGATCAGCTAATGTGGGCTGTGCTGTGAGCGGCCCAGACCATCTGGCAGGCTGGCATCAGCCCACTTGCAAGGTGATCTTCCAGTCTCACCAGGGCCAGGCTGGCAATTCCAGGAGGTCCCTTGCATAATGCCGCTAGGGCTGGCTCCTCAGAGGAGGCCCTGCCCTCATGACCCCTCTCCAGGTGCACGCCTACCTACTGACCGAGGCTCTTGCAGCCCTCTTCCTCCACAGGCTGGGGACAGCCCGCTCTAATAGGAGTCGCAGAGAAGCACCATGCTTTTGAGCCACCAGAATGCTAAGGGCATGTGTGTTGTGCCCTCCCAGCCTGCTCTGGCCCCGGGAAGAGGGGTGGCCCTCAGGGCACCAGGCACAGGCATAGGTCCATTTATACACACGCTCCAGGAAGCCACAAGCTGCCCTTTGGCTTCTCTTTTTGAAACCATCAAAAGCTTCACAGACACCTCTTATGCAGGCAGGGCCACACCCCCACAGCGCGGCTGGGGATCAAAGCCTCTTCCCAAGGGAGCAGTGCAAAGCAGACCTCATTTCAAATGGTTGTTTCACAGTCATCTTTTCCTGGGTTGAGGAGAGTGATGAAAAGAGATGGGGAGGGAGGAAAAAAACTGCAAACCAAAAACTATCCTGACTAGATTGAGCGTGAAAAGAAAAACTGGTGAAGCAAATGCAATTAAAATTCCCTTAGGTGTTTAGTTGGTAATAAATACGAATTATGTCTAATATTTACTAGGCCTTTGGACTAGGTACTGTGCTAGATTCCTTACCTGTATCATCTCATATAATCCTATAGCCCTCTATGGGGTAACTGAAACTCAGAGAGGGTAAACAACTTGCTGAGGTCACACAGCTACAAAGAAGAGAAGAGATTCCAAGCAAATAGGCTGACCCCAGAATCTCGGTTCCCAATTAGTACAATGCACAGCCCCTCAGCCCAATACAGAAATGAATTCTGAGGACCCCTCTAAGGATTAACTGAAAAAGGGAAGTTGTGGAGATGCCTTGTAAAAGGAAAACACAAATGTCAATGATGGGAGTTTACAGACCAAGATTACAAGGTTTGAGACCAGGTGCATCTTCATGAAGAATCATACACCTTCCTACCCTGGATTCTCTCTAAATAAGAGAGAATTATTATTTACCTCTTTAAGACTTCTTTGTGAAATGATTCTAGTGATCTTTTTAAAGAGTTTGTATCCATGGATACAGGTTTTCTGCTTTGCGAACGTTGAAAACTGCTATAATCTCAGTTTCTGTTTGACATAGGTTGCAGTGGTCCATTTCTCTGAATATTTAGCACAAACATGGTATGGGATCTGACACACCCAGTTTCTCAGGCAAACATCATCCCTTTGTGTTTCATAGCGGCCACTCCTGGCATCTCAGCCTGAAGGGGTTTCATGTTGATCACCACCATGACTCAGCTGCCTTAGCGAAAGGCAGTCGGCCAGAGTGCTGGTGACTGCAGTGTGTCTGCAAGGACCAGAAGAACTCTGTGTCACTGCTTCAAGTGATAAGAGGTTTATTCCACTCCCTGCAAAGAACACAGTAAAAAGCGGAATGATGGCCTGTTATTTGGACTCCCTCCCACCCCTTCTCCTCTATTCAACAGAAAAATAACCAGCAGAAATCACAAATCAGGAAAGGCACTGATGGAGCCTGCTCTCTCACCAGGACAGAATATTCATGTGTTCTCTTTGATTTCTAAGAATTACCTGCTTTTTCACAAGTAGCTTAAAATATGGGGGATCTCAGTCTCTTCACTTGAAGAGCAATATAAAGAGGAAAAACCAAAGCCAGAAAAAATAGTGACGAGGTGGTGAAGAGAGAGATTTTAGTTTATTCCTTTTCACACATTGGAGAAGGTGAGATAAAAATGTGGGTTTGTGAAGCCACCTAGCACCACGCATTGCAAACAGTAGGTATTTCATTAATGCATACCAATGTAATTTGTTAAAGGGGAAAGGCAAAAAGGAAAGAATGGGACCCAAGTGTTAAATTTCTGATGAGAAACAGGAAAGGAAAGCAGAAAACATGTCTCCAGGATACATTTAAGTGGGCGGAGCTTCCCAGTTGCATCAGGACAAAACTAAAACCACATCAATTTCCTTCTCTTTTTCTTTTTCAACCATCAGAGTTGAGAGTTTCATTCTCTGGGAGCTACTCCAGCCCAGACACCAAGTGACAGGCAGGCAGTTTGGATGATGGAGAAGCAGCTAGCCCTAGAAACAGAAACCATTTTTCATAATGAATACCACTGAGAAATCACTCTTCCAACTAGGTCTGCGGAAACTGGCCCAGCCTCCTGATCCCCCAAAGACAGTTTTAAATGAAATGAGGAGAGAGGAAAGGGAGGCATTTACCATTGGTCATCAGGACAAGTTCACGCAGCACCAAAGTCTGCTTTTCTGTGCAATTAAAGCACTTGTGCCACTTCCTATGACATTTTCTCCGTGCCCCCACCATGCAGGGGTAATTATATCTGTTTATGGTTCATCTGATGCAAAGAACTGACTCATTTGAACAGATCCTGATGCTGGGAAAGATTGAAGGCGGGAGAACGGGATGAGATGGTTGGATGGCATCACCAACTCAATGGACATGAGCTTGAGTAAACTATGGGAGTTGGTGATGGACAGGGAGGCCTGAGGCGCTGCAGTCCATAGGGTCGCGAAGAGTCGGACATGACTGAATGACTGAACAGAACTGAATGGTGCATCTGAGGGCTTCCCCAGTGGCTTGGCAGTAAAGAATCTGCCTGCAGTGCAAGAGCTGCAGGACACACAGGTTCGATCTCTGGGTCGGGAAGATCCCCTGGAAGAGGGCATGGCAACCCACTCCAGTATTCTTGCCTGGAGAATCCCATGGTTAGAGGAGCCTGAAAGGATACAGTCCATAACAACTTAGCACACACGCCTGATGGTGCGTTTTTACTTTCCCAGAATGCATGTTCAACTCCCACCCAAGTTCCTATTATAACCACTATTCAACCAATGCAGAAGACCTGGGTTCAATACCAGGGTCCAAATGATTCTTTGGAGAAGGGAATGGCTACCCACTCCAGTATTCTTACCTGGGGATATCCATGGACAGAGGAGCCTGGCAGGCTACAGCCCACAGGGTTGCAGAGTCAGACGTGGCGAAGCAAATAACACTTTCACATATGTACTTTTTTATAAGCACTAATCGTTTATCAATATATCCTTTGTCAATTATTGCAAATATGTTCTCTTAGTTTGTGGCTCACCACTTCACTCTTGGTTTAATGTTTGTGTTTCAGAGGGAGATGGAGTTTTTTATTTGTTAGTTTTGATGAACAGAAGTTCTTAATTTTGATTTTGTTACGTACCAGTCTTTTCTTTTATGAATTACCTCAGGGTTCGCAAATGAGGGTGCATGGTTCAAAGCAGACTTACTGCCTATTTTTGTAAATAAAGTTTTATCAGAACATCGATATGCCCATTCTTTCATTTGTTGTCTGTGATCACTTTCCTGCTACAGCAGCAGGGCTCAGAACTCCTAAAATATTTACTCTCTGGTCCTTTACCCCAAGGTCATAAAGATCATCTACTTTTTCTATGAGAGTTGTTCCCTAATTTCTACCAAATGGAAATGGAGTGCTTTTTCTTTTTTTAGTATTTATTTAATTTTGGCTGTGCTGGGTCTAAGTTGTAGCATGTGGGGTCTTT